CGCGGGCCGCGCGGCTGGGCGGGCCGCGCTCCAGGATGCGGGCAGGGCTGGGCCGCAGCCGCTGGTGGGGTTGGCATTCACTGTGATTCTGCTCATCGCTTTGGCGGCGATCCTGTGGTACTTCAAGCCGAAGGCGCTTCAGGGAGTCGCTCATGCCGTCACATGTTTGTCTCATATCCTACGTGTGCATCTGGGTTACTTCACAACACACGTCTAACAGTCTATAATGCAGCATCCTCTTTTCTATGGCTATGGAGCCCCCCCTTTAAAACATGCGTGCCTCTGCAGTTNNCCCCCCCCCCCCCCCCCCTCAAGATTCCAGAAGGGATCATGAAATTATTTCAGGAAGGGACTTAGAAGGGGAACAAGGACGAGAGTGAGAGAGAGAGAGAGATGCCTCAGATTCCAAGCCCGGGGCTCGCGCTTTGGTCATCAAAGAAGGTGCCGAAACAATGCCGATTTAACTGGTGCTGGACTTCCCCCTTGCTTTGCTTTTTTCTTGAGGTTGAATAAGGAAATCATTGGCCTCGGGACCCTCGGGATCTCTGAGATCTCCAGGCTTCGGGCTCTTAGGGTGAAGGCCTGGCTTCAAGAAGAAGAAGAAGAAGGGTTGGCCGTTAAGGCAAAAGACCGGAGGCTTCATTGATCAATAACTTACATGTCATTGGTTCAGGAGTCACAGGGTTGGAATTGCGTTGCTCATCCTGATTAGCCACCTCAAAACACAGAGGCTCGTGGTGCAACCTCTAGCTGGGGGTGTTTGGGATGCACCAACGGCTTTAGCGCTAGACTGAAGGCAGGACGATGGCAGAAGCACCAGTAAAGTGCTGAGAAAGCTCGTGATCTCGGAACCTTGTTTGAGGAGACGGCACCGAGCATGGCCCGGAGCCAAGATATCTTCTTTTCACTTCTCAGGTGCTGGCCTGGCTAGCATCAAAGCATCGTGTCAGGACCAGGTCGACGTCGCCAACGATGCCATCGATCTCGAGGAGGGGCTCCTCATTGCTCGGCTCCCAGCAAATTGCAAGGTACGCCGAACCAGTAGCCAATGTAGCCCATGTATGCGCGTGTAGCCCGTGATGCATTCGCAGGTGCATGGAAGTCCGGGCCCGCTGCCAGAGGCGCGGCTTGTTGTTCCCTATGCCCCAGCCTTCTACGTGTGCGCTTGCTGAACCAGTCCTTTGGTGCACGAAGTTGAGGGTGGAGATGGAGTTTCAGCCCTTTCTGAGAGGAGCGGGGGGTTCAGAGAGACAGTCTGGAGTTCCATGCCTGCTCCGACATCGTGATGACGAGCTCGAAAGCATGGTCGCGTGATGATAGAGCCCTTCGATCGCAGACTGCGGGGTCAAATCGCTTTGGCACCATCTTTGCATGGGCACACTACGCGGGCGTGCTTTTTATTACCAACTTCGCGGTCTTCCTTCAAATGTCTTCACAGGACGGTAGGGTGCTCCATGGCTGAGTCTGTTTAGGGGGTTTTTGGCTTGCGCGTCAGATATGTCCACTTTGAAAGGCCACACAACACACAAACCTTCCATCGGCTCAGTGTTGCGCCTTGGGTGGCCACCATGGCGTCCATGGCCGACTCGCCATGCATTCCTTCCTGAGCCCAGCTCCTGAAGCTTTCTTGCGGAAGTTTTGCTTGCGAGAGGTTGGGGCGCCTCCGGGCGTTGGTTTGTGGGAGGGTCAAGTGGTGACGGAGAGAGCTCGGACAATTTCCTTGAAACTCTCCTCGGCTGCTTTTCGCAGCTACCTTACTGTAGCCGCTACTTTACGCAGTCAGGCCCGGCACAAGACGACCCTTGATCCATCACAGCAACGGAGATCCTAGGTCTATAAAGGGACAAGGATGTATTTGTCAGGTTGACTGCATTTGGACATGCGGGAGGCGTCTCCCTTGCAGCTGCCTCGGGTGCGGGTGGAAGCCGAGTCCACAATCTCCCCGGCCTCGCCGGTCTCCCCAGTCTCCCCGCCTGCGTTGGGAAGCTTTCAGGCGGAGGCTCGGTGCAATTGGATCGAGAGCACACGGGAATCATTTGTTATGTTGGGGTTTGATGTGAGGTGCAGGGCAAGCTGATCATCAGGGATGACTTGGAGCAGCAGGCGCAGAAGCACGCAGAAGCACGTAGAAGCAAGAGCACGCATGACAGCATGCCCTGCATTGCCCATTGCTTGAAGATCGACTGGGCCCCTGATGATGGAGACCCTCCTGCGAGAGGACTACTGGTGGAGGCCATCATGCCCTCATCTCCTTGAAAGCCTTGCTGTCGATGCTGTCGTGCCTTGTCGTGAATCTCCACCAGGTGGCGCCCAGGCGCCTCTATCTCAGCACGGAGGACTCGGGAGCTCACAAGCACTGCCACCACTGTTGAGACATGCATGTATGGACATGCCTAGACGCTGCCCGTCAAGTGTGTCACATTGTGTGCTCTTTGCAGGCGTGGAGATCTTTCACATTGTTCAGCCGGCACTACGAGTCCAGGGTCCAGCGAGCAATTCGAGGAGGCGCCCGTTTACAGCTGCACTCGAGGGCTTGGAGTATATTTGTTTTGTAGCTTCCATTTTCTTTTCCATTATCCCAACATATCCCCTATATATCCCTTATTACATTATAGTAGTTTCCATTTCCACTATCCCAATATAACCCTAATACAAAAGTGTTTCCCTCAGGCTTCATTGGTAACTCCATTTGCTGAAGATTGTGGGACTCGGTTTGAGCCCGACTGCCTGCTCCGTCTTTTCAACTGCATGGGTTGCAACTCACGTGCAGTTGCCGTGACCGGTCGGCAGCGTGTAATGAGCAAGAATCAGCAGTTTGGCAGCTTTGATGAGGGTCCTGTCGGGTGGATCCTTCGCCAGTGCCAGGGCTATGTGTACGAATCATCGACAATGCTGTTCAACGGGTGCTTCGCTCTCCTTGGGTGCTTGTCCTGCATCCCTGGACCATGTGGATTCTTCCGCCTGGGACCACTTCGAAAAATTGAAGGCACCGCGGAAGGGAGCGCGTTTGATTTTGACGTTAAGGCTCGTTAAGGCCTGTCAGAGCTTCGATGATGGTAAGGACATCCTGAAAGGCAGTTGTGTCCTGGCGGAGGATCGCTTGCTGACCTACGCAGCCTTGTTCCCCACCAAGCCAGAAGAAGCCCAGGGTCTGTGGCGGCTCTGCTCCTCAGGATCAGGATCTACGATTCTTTTTGAGCCTGATGCCATCTTTTATTTCCAATCTGAGAGCACGCTGTCTTCATACGTCAAGCAGCGATGCAGATGGTTGAACGGATCGATTGCCTGCGACTTGTGGACCAACATGCAACTTGGCAGGCCTGATCTTCCTCACACCCACGCATGTTGCAGGATCTTCTTGATCAGGATGACCAACTTTCTGATGTTGAGCATCTACGCGGGCATTTCACTGGGGCCAGCCTTGTACACGATTGGTATGGTCACTGCTTTGTACTACCTTGGCTCCAAAACAAACCCCGAAGCTGAGCCCTTTGAGCGTCGCTTCACGTACTATGTGCTGGGATTTTCGTGGTTCGTTCTGCATCTGGGATTTGCTGTTCTCCAGCACACTGACAAGAATAAGGGCTTCCACGGAGTCATGTGGGTGGTTGGAATCTGGCTGGGTGTTTTCTTAGCCCCAATCATTCTGGCTGGGCTCATCTACGGCCTCATACTCCAAGATGGCTGGGTGCAAGTTCTGGCGTCCTGTATGCCACGATCCCCTTGCTGCTCAACGCCCTGGTTGGAAATTTGGTTGGCTTCTTTCGTCTTCTCAACCCATTCACATGGCTTGCAAATCACTTGATGCTTGCCACCACGCAGGGCATCTTTCTGACGAATGCCATATGTCGGACGCATGACTTGACGTGGGGAAACCGTGCCACTGCAGAAAGCTCTGGCACGTAAACACAGCTCGAATCAGAGACGCCGATGTTATTTGGTGGCCAACTTGTTCTAAATGGGTTGAAGTTTACCTTCGACCCCAGTACGGTGATTGGTTCGATAACCAACAAAGCTTTGATGGGCTTGCTTCTTGGGCCCACGGTCGTTTTCAGCGCTTTCTCTGCCATGAACTACCGCCTGTTGTCCTTGATTCTTTCCATTGCAACCTCGATCCTCCTGGAAATCTTTGTCCTCCCCTGTGAAGGCAATCCAGCAAGGACATGTTATCCCGGTGCAAGTTGCTCACCGAGCTATGGCGAGAACTACCGCAGTTTTTGGCAGTTTTGGCTTGGCTGAGTTCCGCATGATCAGATGCCTGGCTACGCTGGTTGTCATCCTCCTCCTCCTGTCCCTAGCTCTCCGAGGGATGGAGTGGCTGCTGCTACAAATGAGGGTTTGTTGTTGCCGGGGCAAGCGTCGACTAGACACCAAAATTGGTGGGACTAGGGCAATCTTTACCAATCCAGGGCATTCAGTCACTTCTGACGCCAGATGAGAAGTCCAGATCTCGCGCCTGCAATGTGGATCCACCTTTAAGGCTGGCTGCAGCCCGTCCGCTTGCTCAAGGGAGCCTTGTGCGTGCTCAAGGGGACCTTGTGCAATGGGTTCTGTATAGGAACTCATATATGAATAGGTTTGTGCCCCGTGGGATAAACGCACCCCACCTCTAGAAGTCATGAGTTGCAAAACAGAGGCTGGAATGCCGAGTGGTCTGTACGGTTGCCAAGACCTAGCTCATCCTGGCGGATCCAAAAGATCTGTTGACTACTCTTGTTGTGGTTTTGGAACACCTTATGGAAGTGGATCAGATTCTGCAGCTGTTCCACAAGTCTTGTGTTAGCAGCACATCACGCCTGCAACATGCCAAGCCACCCCGCCGATTTCTGGCTGGGTGCTCCCAAAAAACAGCTTGTATGATGTTGTTGATGATCACTGCAGCACTTCTACATCATGATCACATTTAGCCATGAGTGGCTATGCTTACATGCTCAGATTAAGCTTGCAGAGTGCCATGAGGAATGACACGTTTTTGCAAGACACCGTCCAGCTGAAGTGCCATGGCAGCCACTAGTTTGGAAGATGCTTTGAGCCGCCTGGATGCGAGCATCGAGGTTGACGTCTTGCCTCCATGTTTGGGTTCTTGGCCTTCATCCCCTGATTTCGGAATGGGAATCCTGAGAGGGGCTCCCTGGCCAGAAATTTTTAGGTTTCATCCGATGACAGGTTTCCTACCAAGAAGTCGATGATGATGGTGTGGCAAAGCTGACCCAGGCCCTGAAGCCTCGTACTTAGCTAGGCTTGCAACTGTTTTCGTCGCACAGCCGGGGATGTGCATGTGACCTAGGACCAACCACACCATTGTCGACATTTACCTCGATGACAATAAAATCACGGACCTTCCTGGCAGCATGTATTAAGAGCTGGTAGCATTAAAGCGAGCAGACGCGGCAGAGGACAAGGGTGTGCAGCTCTTCGCGGAGCTGATGGAGTGCCTCCAGGACCGAAACAAGCAATTTGCACAGCGGAGTTCACGCCAGGTACTCAAGAACGTTGAGGCAAATCTCTTTCTATCACAACTTGGTGACGGATGCTGGCGTCAAGAGCCTCTCCAAGGCATCGGCAGTTTCAGTGGTGGAGGGATCTGTTGCGAGTTGGAAGGTGAAGAAGACATGGATGTTACTACATGGACACAGCAGTTTAGTGCTTCGAGGCGCTTGTGGCAAGCTCGCTGAACCTGCTGGACCTGCGGGAGAATCGGGCCAGGGAGCCTAAGTCATCCTCGCACTACAGCTTAAGGAACCTACCATGCCACAGTTGCATGAATGGCAAGTATAGTAATGAGAATAGTGATAACAGTAGTAATCGTAATAACAGTAATAACTGTACTGGCAATAAACATTGTAATCATAGTGAGCAGAAATAATAGGACCAGCAAATTAGCAACAGCTTGAGCTTTATCAGGGTGCGCTTTTTTCCTTTGAGGTGTCAGATGCAGGTGCTACAGCCCTGGCAGAGGCTTCGCGGGAGCACACATAAATGGGTTGTTCTCAACATTATGGGGTTGCTTTTAGATTGTATTCCGGCACTTACTATTAAGGGGTACCAAAATGGGACCCTAACTTTGGGAACTATCCAAATACATACAACGAGAGGCTTTCCTGCGATCAGGCATTGGAAGATGGGAGCCAGCTTCGGTTTCTGCTGCTCAAGGCCTTGCTTTGTGTCTCAGGTTGAAGCTCTAATTAGAATCTAACCCTAATCCCTATAAGCCCTAAACCCTAAACCCCAAACCTCTTTCCCTGCAGAAGGACAATGAGATCACTGATGATGGCGCTCAAAGATTAGCTGCCGCAGTGAAGAAGTGTGGCGAGGCGGGGTGAGTCAGCCTCACAGTCTTGTTGACACCCGGGACAGTCAGGATGGGCCCCTTCAGCAGCTGGACTTGGAGAGCAATCGCATCACCGCCAAGGGCAGCGTCTACCTGAAAGAGGCTTCCATCCTAACAGCTTGAGAGAGCTGCCTAAGCCATAGGACCTTAGCAAGGTAAAGGAGTCCCTGAAGAAGGAGATCCAGTTTGGCTACCAGAAGAGCCAGAGCCTCAGAAGCACCGCCCAGTCTACCACTGGCAAGCATGCCGGTTCCGTCCCTAGGCTCAGAGTAGGACCATCTGCAATTCTCAGCATGCCACCACATTGCGCTTGACACAGAACACTTCACTTAAACCGATCCCAGTGAAAGCAAGGTCCCTGAACCGTAGCCTCAATAGCGCATTCCAGTAACCACCCGTACCGCCCACGTCACGACACCCAGTACTGGTAGAGAAACTCCAACGTAACAACGCGTAACCAGTGGAAAAGGATCATGGACCTGCTTGTTTCAAAAGGTTGCAACCGTGAAGCTGCCATGACAACAAGAATGACCTCAGTGAAAGGGCTGTAAGGGGTTGAACTTCGCTTGCAGAGGCTCTCACTGAGCGGTTAACGCCTCGTTTGGTTTCCAGCCCTGTCACTTTTTTTGCTTCAACTTCCAATCACACCAGCCAAAAGAGACAGGTAGTCAAGTGCTGACCATTCTGAGTACCGCCAGCTGCTAAGGCAAAGCCAGAGAACAACATCGCGGAGTTATTGACAGTCACAGCAAGGCAGGGAAGATTCCTGCCAGCTGGTCTCGTGCTTGTGAGCTGAGCTGCTAGAGCAGTGCTTGCTGGAGCAGGATGGCGTGTTCGCGGCCAGGTAGATTGCAGATGGCTGATTGCTGTCACAGACAAAATCCGCATTGCTGCTCGTTTCTGATGCAGGCGCAGGCCCAATACTGTCCCAATACACTGATAATGCCCAGCGCAATTTCTGGGAATGGAGGGGAAAGTAACAAATTCCATGTCCAAGTGGGAAACATTGCGTCCAAAGGCGTGCTTGTGCTGAGCGCGTGCTTCCAATGACATCACCTGTTCTGCAAAGCCTCTCTCACAGCTGTTTTGATTGCAATCCGCCAGTCAGCGCCTGTCAGAATCGTCAGACGTTGTTCGTTTTGCCTGCCCACAGGACGGATCTGCAGGCTGCGACTTGCCGGGACCGCGTCAACGAAGCCTTGCGATGAAAAAATGCCTGTTCCGAGCCTGTCAAGGCAGTCGTACCGGCGAGGGGGAACGACAGTTTACACTGCTTCGAAGGGATGCAGGACAGAACACAGAAGAAAGATGCTATTTACCGGCTCAATCTTAGTAGGTCCCTCCATGGTAGCCAACAAAGCGTGTATTTGGACCTCAGCGGGACTTCGCGCGTGTGTTGGGCTGCTGAGGATTAGCATGTCTTGTGTCGCAGCTTGGCTTGTCGCAGCGGCGGTGGTGGATTGCCAGCAGTTGACGGTTGACACTGCTTTGGCGACCCTGGCTGTTGCCAGTCCAATCTTTGAGAAATCCTTCAGCTCGAGACACCAAACCCCAAAACAACCACGAAGAGAGCCGAAGCCCCGCGCACGACAACCCTACACCTCGAGACCCCCAAACTCACTGAAGCAATAGCTTTGACAGCCTACAGACTTGTTTGTGGGACATCATACCTTATTTAATCATGCCAGAGTTGGTGTAAATGCCGTGCCCCGAGAGAGCCATGGTGGACAAGATCCAGCCTATCATTGAACAGGAAAAGTGGCCCATAGCCAAGTTCGTTTGGCCAGAGCCTTCATGTGCAGCAAATTTCCCGCAGGAAATCAGCGCTGCTTGCAGCAAACTCTCTGCAAAGTTTGAAGAGTTGCTGGTGACGGAGCTTGAGCAGCTACGTGGACGCCTTGTTATGGAGCTAGCCAGTGGCAAGGCAGCGTTGACATGTCGTGTCCCATTTGTTTTGGAATCGGTTCCAGTATGATGCAGGTCGAAGCGGTAGTGCCGGTGGTGGGAGCCACGCAATACTGTGGGCGACTAGTTGTGGAGCTTGTTTTACAGAGGTGCCAAGACTCAGTACGACTGCTTCAATTGCAGGTCTTTGTCCAGGCACCCCTGAAGCTGACAAGGCAAACTTCTGCGAAAGTGTTGCTTGTGATTTTTTGCTTGTGCCAGCAGGTTGTTGCAGATAGTGCGTTGCCGGGGGAGCCTTGCTAGTTCCAGGATAATTCTTGTGCTGTGGCCTGACATTTACAACTGCTTGTAAGGCCAGTGTACGACATTGAGCAAGAGTACGATCGTGCCTTGCCAGAGGTGCCCACGTGGGGTTTCCAATAGGTTTCCGCCGCAGAGCTGTTTTGGCAGGTTGTGGAATGCTCTTCTGGAGTTCTGGGGCCTTCAGCACCTTGGCTGTGTGGGCCAGAGGGGCGACAAATTGCGTGTGCGTTTTGGCTGTAGGAGGCTCGGGGTCTTGTTCATGCGCAACCCCCCCGTAAAGAACTTGGGGCAGGGCAAGTCTGTTGCACCAGGCGGAGTGGGCAATGGCAAAGTTCCAACACAAAAGGGAGCAACAATCCCGAACAAGCCCGAGCGTTGTGTAATGACACGCCCTGAACTCCGAAAGGAGTGTCGCGCCAGGATACAGGGGAGTTGCAAGAACAGTTCAGTGGGTTTTGTCAGCTCAGAAGCGTGGAAGCGACGAACTTCTTGGTCTTCCGAGTCAGCCGCAGCCACATTTTCTAGTCAGTCAGAGACGAGACTAGATTTGTGGGCTTCTTTGTCATACACAATCCCGACCTGTTTTGAATGTCTGCAGTGAGAATATGAGATTCTTGTCGGATTTGTAATGGGCCGGCCCTCCCACCTGAGCATGGGGCCTGGAGCACTAAATCGAACGAAAGAAGAGAAGCCATGGGCCCTGCCGTAAAGCGTAACGACTGGCGCACTTTCGTGCAAGGCCTCAAATCTCTGTAGTGAAGCCATGCGCAGGGGGGGGAAGGCATGGACAGCATAACAGGTTGAAGCCGTGCCAGCTTGGAAAGAAGAGCCATGAAGAGCCTCTTGGTGAGGCTCCAATTTGCAGCACTTCGGCCACTTCATGGGATGGCAGCCCCGTGAGCCCTTCGAGCCCTGCGAGCCCGAGCGTTTGGGACTGCGCGGGGTCGGCACTTTGGTTGTCGTTGATCCCCAGTAAGGCCCTTGAAGTCTTGGCCCTAGCAATGCCGTCGCTCTCTCTGGAGCCTGGAGGACATGCTCTTGGGCGTGTTTGGCTGGCCGTCAGAGCCTGAGTTCGTCTGTGCAGCAGCTGAGCCTAGGCTGTGTCTAGTCGAAGCCGAGTGATTTTGTTGCAGGAGAGAAGTTCCTGTCAACGAGCTCTGTCTGTACGAGGCTATTGTTTGTGGGCTTTCTTGCTGGGCATGGGTGGCTTGCGTGGCTGCGTGGCTGTCAACAGCCAACTTCCCGCAGGAAGCGCACCGAGGGATCAAAACGACCGAACGAGAGCAAACTTGAACACATGCAATGTGCAATTCTTTCTTCATCGCGGGCTCTAGATGACGTTAGAGTCGCTAGAGCAGTTCTGCCAGATGGTTCTTTGCTTTTGATCCGGGCCAGTCCGTGGGACACAGGGTTCTCTCTGCTGCCAACGCGCGAAATTCCCCATGAAAGGCACTGTTTTCCAGGCGGGCGCGAAGGACTCTGAGCGAACGAGATGTGTGATATCACAGCGGAAAGAGTTGAGAACAGTTTTTCCTGAGAGCCAATCAAGATTATGACGCGCCTGGCTCAGCACGCGATGGCAGTTCCCAATGCGGATTGCAAGAAAGCGCAACTGCGGGCACAAACACGGATGCTTTCTAGCAGGAACGTACCTTGGCCCAGCTCAGTACCAAATGGGTCCAATTAGACCACTACAGTCACTACAGCCCTAGCGGGACCTGCGAAGGTAGGGACTCGAGCCTGAAGATGGTCTATGTATCACGCCTGTGTTCAGCTTCGTTTGAAGGGAACCGGGGACTTTTGAAAAGCGACCATGAAGGCACTTCGGTGTGTAGTGGCGCTTCCTGTTCAGGATCCGGCAGGCAGCTTGGAGGCTCTTGAGGCGTGGCGTGGCTGTGCCATGCTGTGCCCTTTTGCGCACCGTGCCGTGCTTGGCGCTGCAGGGTCCAGAGACTGTGGAGGCGCGTGTGGGGGCATGCTTGGCGGACGTGGGGTGCCGGCTGCATTGCTGGAGGGCGAGCTCTCGAAGCGTGAAGCTGGAGCTGGACTGGAACAGGCAGACTGCTGGGCCTGCTGGGTTTGAGGATCTCTACTCTAAGCTGCTCTGTGCGAGGCAGGAATTATGCACATGGAGATCGAGGACCGGACCCTAATTACAAGTAACCAGCACGGAATCATCTTGGACCATAAAGTGCGGTGTTGAACAATGGGGACGAGGCATCGGAGCAGTCCGAGAAGCAGTGGGTGCATGTTTCTTCGTGCCTGGGCAGCAGACCGCGGTTTGGTCTGAAGCAGGTTGGTGCTGTTGTTTGTCAGGTCGGTGCTTATTTTTGAACCTTGAAGCTTGAATCTGCAATCCTGTTCTCCCTACAAGCATGTTCGTGATGCGGTCGTTTTCTCTGCTGTCTCTGTCCAAAGTGTTGTGAATTAGGCGAGGGTCACCTACTGACCCGATCAACAGCAATCGCTTCCCAAGGAGTGACAGTAAGGTGGAGCCTTTGATGCAAGATCACCACAGGTGAGCCCCGACTCGGGACATGCGGTTGACCTCGGGTCAAAGAGATCCTGAGAATTTCTAGCCGGGTCTGGGCATCTGGTGGGATCTGGGTGGACGTGAATCCTTGTGTGCAGTGGAGAGTCCGTGAGGGTGGGGCACCCCTAACGGATCACAAAAATGTGTGGTGCGAGTTTGTGAGCTACTCGTGCCTGAATGAAGCTTGTTTCTTCCACTGCGGACGCTGAGGCACTTGAAGTTGGACATTTGGAAGTTCTTGCCAGTCTGCCCCTCAGGGGCGGTGCTGTTTGGGCTTAGGTGTAAGGGACTCGGGGTTAAGAATCAAGATGAATCAAGTGGCAGCTCGTGAACGGCAAGGCTTGAGCGCTTGCAGAGCTTGTTTTCTCGGAAGCCGGCCTTCAATCTGATTTTTTTCCGCATCGTTGGCTGTTGGCTATCGTTCAAGCCTGGCATTGAGCGCGCCCTTGACTCCCGGGTCAAACTCAAACAGCCCCAGTGAGCAAAGCCAAAGCATCCAAACAGCAGGGAACATTACCACAGATCTAGGCACTCGCCTTGCCCGTCAAAAGCTTTGCCAAGGCTGTGGAGATTTGTAAGAGTCGCGCAGTCTCGCGCACCTTTGCAACTGCGAAGGACACTTCGCAGCAGGACATTAGCGCAAGGCTTGCATGTCGGTGAGTCAGGGATGTAGATCGGGTGAGTGCTAAGTGGTATTTAATCCGAGGAAATTGTTGACCACCTCAAGGCTGTTGTGGACTTATCCAGGCGGGTTGCAGAGCACCAACGCTTGCCCTCGTTCCACTTTGACGAGACCCTCCCGTGCGTGGGCATGTCTTCTGTTTTAATCTGCCAGCATGCGTTGGAGCACGTTGGTAGACTGAAGGTGAGGTGCATAAACATCGAATCGATGTGTATTGTGCCGTGCCCTGGAGGAAGGATGCCCTCCTTGCTGAAGCAGTGTCACATCATCAGCAAGCTGCTGACATGGGCATGCAGTGGTTTGGAGAGGAGGCTGAAGATCCTTTGCTCAACTTTCGCCTGGATGCAGCCATGCTTGAGCGCCGTGATAGCCGAGCGGCCGCAGCAAGATATCGTGTAGATTTTGTGCCAATAGCAGACCAAGACCGGAGGGCACCAAATATGATGTCACGTGATTTTCCGGACCCTTCCACTTCTTCCACAATTGCATCTAGTGACTAGTGGGACTCAGAGTCGGGGTGTGAAGCCATGTAAGGTGTGCCGACCATCAGCGCACGCTGTCTTTTGCATGCCCTCCAGGTTTCCGCTGTCTCGTGAACTTGGGCAACGTATGGTTCGCGCATGCTCCTTTCTCCATGCTCGATTTGGTTTGGCGCCTGGCTTTTCACACTGAAGACCATCCTGGCGATGATCTGCTATACGATGCCGTGTACTTTTCCACACGTTCATCAGCCGTGACCTCGCTGAACAGGCTGTTGCTTATGACACCAGCGTTTCACCACTGGCTAGCGCAGCAACGCGTTGCCAACAGCTGAAAAGCCTGGCACACTTCTCTGTGAAGACGCATTGTCGGAAATTCCAGGCTACAGGAAAGCTATTTTTGGATGGAGTTACGGTGGGGGGGGTTCAGACAGGGGGGCTAGGGCTGCTGGAAAAGTCTAAAAGAAAACAAGAGCCCGTCTCGCAACAGGTTGGGAGGGCCGGAGGAAGCGGGGAACCGATTGGGAGGGCCAGGCTTCACTGTGCGCTCGCCCCGTCAAGCCGGGGTCGGCGGATTCTCCTACTAGATGCTTTAGGAGAAAGATGGTGGATCATGCTTCTGAGGATAGTTGCTTCCATCAGGCGAACATCACTTTGACGAAGACTTGCAAAAACATCATGGTTGTCATTGCCAGCACCGACGTTTTGTCACGCATTAGTTCGTACCATCATTCTGAATCATCACCCTTGTCATCGTCAATGTGAAGCCAAAGGGCACCTAGGCAGCAACCTTGGCAATGGGCCGCACAAGGACCCCAGAGGGGTAGCAGGTGGTTTTGCTGAGAAATGGTAGTTTCCCCAAATAGGGGGCTCCCAATATAGGCCCCCAAAATACGGTAGTCCCTATTATCGCGGCTTATAGGATGACCAAAAAGGGCACCCAATTTCAGGAAGCCTGCAATCCCACTGGGACGTTGATGGATTCCGTGAAGCCACGCAAGGAGCCGGCCTCCGCGCCATGTCCGGGAGGCTGCCGTTCTTGGTTGGAACTTCTATGGGTTCAGGGTTCAGGGTTTAGGGTTGAGGGTGAGCAATTTGGAGCCCCTGGGATCCAAAAAGTCCAACGTAGGTGATATTTAGCGGACTTTAGGGCCCAATGTTGGTATTATTTGTAGTTGGAATTTCTATCTTGAGGAGCAGCACAGTCCCGAGGCGTAAGATGCTATTGCTTTCAATGGGATTCCAAGCAGTGCTGTAACACAGCCAAAGTTTTGTTGTTTTTTTTGTCCCAGGCTGCCAAGACCACGGGCTCAGACGTTACAGGCGCGGCAAGAACCCAGACCTCTCACAGTGAAAACTCAGAAGCGCAGACCTTGCTAGGAAAGCATGACAAAGGTATATGCTGTATGCTATGCCCTCATACCTGTGAATGCTGTAGAGTATCGCGCTGACATGTTCTGAAATCTGTACCGAGAGCCCAGAACCCGCCAGGCGGGAGCACCGCCGGAGAAAATCAACTTGCGCCGGCTGAGCTGGTCGGGCGCAGAGATTAGGAAATGACACCGATGATCATGTTCATGCTTTGACACGAAGGGTTTTCATTGATGAGAATTGTCAGGATGCTACGTTTTTTAAAACTGCAATCACACTTACTCGAGGGCTTAAGATTATGACGAATAATGACGAATAACGAATAAGCTCGGGTAAGTGCTTTACAGTCCTCTGAGATGCTTGGCCTAGATGATTCACTTTCAATATTCTGGTATACTAAAGAATACAGACATAGAGAATACATAGGGAATATTAGATCTTAGGCAGTGTAAGGGGTACACTGCCACCTCGAGTGTCAGGAAGTGAAGCTTTCCCAGCAGCAACTTGCTCGAAAGTGGGAGCTACAGTGGCGGTCAACGGCCGCGCATGGAGCCCCACACAGCTATGGCACCTGCACTGCATATTGGTTTCCTTGATCAAGCAAGGTTTTTGGTTTCTTGAAACGCTTTGGGGGTTGACGAGGCAGGAGCTGCGATATGGGTCAAAGCCTTCAAACAACTTCGAACCATCTACATGAAAGCCGATGAGCGAAGGCAAAAGCTGTGGCGGCTGGGTGAGGAAGAAAGATGCCAAGCAACTGGACTTAAGCTGTCGCAGACATTTCAGCATCCACCAGTTGGAGCGCCGATGACTTGAGGCGTGGCATCGTCTACAGGTGGCGATGGAGCACCGCACGTTTCTCAGTGTCACTGGAGCTCAGCCGGTCCTGCGAGCATAGCAAGAAAAACAATGGTCATAGTAGCAATAGTGATAAAAATCGCAAAATAACAAGCATAGTAGTAAACAAAATACAAATATACCAGTAATGGTATTGGTCCTGCGGTCCTTGGTTGAAAGGTCTTGCCGCCAGGCCAAGGAGGCACGCCATCACCTGCAGGCTGGCTCTATTCTTCCAACTACTACTATTAGTAAATCCACCAAGACTATGATTACGACTATGATTGTCATCACAATTATTTTTGATCGTTATTATTACCATTATCCTCATTCTGAGTATTGTTACCATTATCTCATCTTTTTTAGTAAGTATACCTACTGTTATTCTTATTACTACAGCTATTACTGTTCTCAGTTTCATTTTTATAATCTGTATCATGAGCTCCGAGAAGGGAACTTGCAGAACGTGAGCCTCCTTCGGCTGTGAGGGCAGCTCCACCGTCACCGCTTCCGCCAGATGTCTTCAGCCCCTCGTCGCAGTGAGCTATCGTCTAAAACTGCTTAAAGGGGGTCATAGGGCCTGATCTTGGGCAGTGTTATGGGTTTATTAATGGGGGATACTAGGAGTTTAGATGATAGCTCATGTTCATGTAGCATCAGTACTTGAAGTGAAAGCTTCTGAGGACACGGGACTTGGAGCCAGCCCCGCTTTCACTGGGAAGCGAACCGTGTTTAGCGACAGACTCGTGAAAAGCGGCCGCAGGTGCACAAAAAGCGGCTTCCTGCTTTCCTTGACCATATTCGTTTGTGATCTGGAGGTTTAGAATCCGGTAAGACTACGGTCAAAGGGGAAGACCACCTGAAAAGGAGCAATTGTATTTACTTAGAACTACAGGGCTTTCCGTTGCTTTCGTTGGTTCCTTCCCTGTTCTACTTCCCGCAATTTTTTGCGAAGGATTGTCTAGAATGTTTTGCTGGTACCTGGCATGTAGCAAATGCAGACGCAGCGTCGGATGACACGAGCGGTTGTAGTGAACGGCGTTGGTCCACCAGTCTGCCTTCTAGGCTAGGATAGAGGGATCATTCACGTCGCACAAATATGCCTGTAGTGCTTAGCCAGGCTCCTCAAATAGAGGGTAAGGAATTTTGAAAATGCGCAAGCATGGCTGAGGAGGTTGAACGAGGCTGAGAGTGTTGCGCGATTGCCAGTCCAGCCGCAAGATCCAGACGGATCCTCCAGAATCCCACGGACCCTCGTTTAGGGTTGATAAGATTTAGGGATGTTTAGGGTTTAGGGTGGCAGCAGCTTGGCTCAAAGCGTTTTCCAGCCATGGCTGCCAAAGATTTCATTATCAGGCATGGCTCTCCATCCCTAAGGGTCCAAGGACCCAAATAATAGGATTTTAGGGCCCAAATACTAAACTATTAATGGTACTTGGGCCCTAAAACCCTATTATTTTGGTCCTTGGACCCTTAGGGCATGAATGCTTTGGTTGCCCGCACCTTGCCCAAAAACGTTGACATAGGAATTTCTTGATCCTCGGCCTTCTGGCCGTGCCTTGGCAGAAGATTGCGACAAAACACGAACTTCCCAGCACCTCCATCGCGCTGTGCAGGTAATCACTTTCGGCCTTGTTTGTCCAGCGCCAGGCTGGGATGTAAGTGCAATTCCATAATCCAAATACAAACCCAACATACTATATATAGTAGTTTCCATTTGACTTACCATTATCCCACTATAATTCTACTATACTATGTAGAGGAGGCTCTTTTGAGGGCAAGGTGCAGGAGAGATGCTGGTCCGAGGCGAAGCTTTGGATGGCGTCCAGATAGGGAAGTTCCGCTTGCCACAGGCCCAAAGTGCCGGTAGTAATCGCAATAATAGTAATAATAGCAATAATGGGAATAGCAATTACAATAGTAAGAATGGTAACATCCTTATAATAGTAGTGAGTGGAATGCTGCTCCAGAGCCCTTTTCCGGTGGAATAGGTGGCCGTGATTGTGATTTTCATCGTGTCGGGCCTGTGTTTGGATTCCATCTCCGAGTGTCTGCAGTACAAGGCCCGTCTGGTGCAGCCCAGACGTGAAGTGGGGTTGAAAAAAAACAGTATTAGATCTACCTAGGGTTTATTTTGCAATCCCAAGTGTGTGATAAGCTTGTTAAGAAAACATGGAATGATCTGTGCATGTTCAATCGCCTTTGGCAACGATTGCCGGCATGCAACCATGGGCTGTAATATGCTAGAATATTCCGTAATATACTAGAATACTTTCTAAGATGCTATAGTATACTTAATATACTATAAGATACTATAGTATACTATAATACACTGTAGTATACTATACTATAATGTACATAGTATACGAGCATGACCCTCACGGATGGATGGAATGAAGCGGTTGCCATTTGCCCAGGCCCTGACTTTGTCCGTGGTGCTTGTCCTTGGCATCACCCCATTGCTGCTGGGTAGCTGTTAAGCATTTCATTTCAAGTTACTATATTGGTATAATGTAGGGTTTAGGGTTTAGGGCTATATTATCCGCCTATAATGGAGAATCAAATGGAAATCAACATTGGAACGTGACATGGAAGCCGGGGGAATATAGGGCTTTAAGGAGCTTAATTCAAGTTACTATATTGAAGAAACCCTATTAGTTATTAAATATACCAATTATGGTAGCTTAATTTAAGTTCCGTAACAGCAACCCAGGCTGGCCTATCCCATTTTGCACTACGGGCGCAGGCCTCGGAAACGAGGAAGACAGCCAGCCAACACACCGTTTCCGTGCAACATGACCCGAGTCTCAGTCGATATGGCATGATGCGGCAGGGATGATGTCTAAGAATCCCGTTGATTCGGGAAAGCCTTGCTGTTTCTCAGAGTTGCAACATTCGTGGGACTCTGAGGCAAGGCCATGTCGAGGAGAGCCTCCTGGAGGAACTTTGTTGAGCAAGACTATGAGCACTCATGCCGCACTGTGGATGAAGATTCACTCAGCGCATATTTGGGGGTTTGCAAAAAACAATGGGACCTCGGCATAGACCCAAAGATACAATAATCCTCACTGTTGGGACCCGCAAGTCTTAGTTTCAGGAAACCTTCATATGAGCTGCTACAGCAGGGCCTAGCCGTCTTCTGCGTGGTGCCCACCACATTGTCTTCCGGGGTGACCATGGTGACCCAAGCCAAGGCAAGGACAACAAGCTTTCAGAAAAAGGGATTGCAGACACCGCGGAAGCTTGTTTCTCCAGGGCAACGTGTCCCTGGCCGTGCTGCTCACCACCATCACCAACCTTCTAGGTCTGAGTGTCGCTTCGCGCACAGGGGAGTTCGGGTTTTGTTTGCGGAGGCGTGGCCACGATGCCATGGTCTGTGTCGAAAATCTTTGCTGCCAAAGTGCCCATCAAGCCAGCTGAGATGTTGTTCGAACTGATCTGGTGCCCTGGCGGTCGCAGATAACCCTAAATGGTTTAGGGTTTAGGGTTTAGGGTTTAGGTTTTAGGGTTTAGGGTTTAGGGTTGTTTTGTGAACCCCTCTTGTACAGGTTGACACTAGTGCCCCTCATTGTGGGCATGGGGCTTCGTGAGGCTTGGCTATTCCTTTCAACTGTGCCGGTTATCACATATCCCTATTGGAAGGTGGTGCCAGCAGCAAAGTCTTTCGCAAAGACGAACAAGAAGGTACTTGGCCTCTGCCAAAACAGGCCGGCTCGTTTCCTTCTCAGCAGATCACCTCTTGCTTGTCGTGGCTCAGTTGCATTCTGCTGGTGGTCTTGTTGATGACATCCAGCGCCCAACCGAAAATAGTCACCACTGATGTTGCGGCCTAAGTTGCGCTCAAAGCCCATGTAAGCCTTCCACTTTGTTCGCTAGCCGTCGTTTTGACCTGAGTCCTTCGACCTCTCCTGTGCCCTTGCCATTGCAGCTGGCATCCACTTGGTCTATCGCGTGCTAGGCGCGCCTCTCCTTCCGAGAGCTTAACACCCAGTACTGTTACCCTTGCAACCCTGAACCTTAACAAAGCGCTCATCCCCGAACCCTAACCCCCAAACACTAGTTTCCATTTTCCGTTCCATTACTACTATATAAGCCCATATATAATCCTTATATGACCCTTCTAGAATCGCTATATCAGGCACTGTTCCCCTCTTCAATCCCTGAACATCTGCTCCACAGATCTCAAGTGCCAGGCTACTTCTCGGCCACCGCAGCAAAGCTCGAGCCTCGTGAGTGGGCCTGCATCTCGGAAGTGGGAAGGCCTAGAGACCTTTGGTATAATATGTTTCTATATATACATGTATGCATGCACAAAACCATTACCTATGAGCACGCGTAACGTAGAATGTCATTTGTTATGCCATGCTGCGTAAAACATGACAGTATGTAGCTAATCATGTAACACTAAACCCTAAACACTAGGGGATGGAGAAATGGATCACTGTAGTAGCCCCTAGACTCCCTATATAAACCCCTATATAATCCCTATATAAGCCCTTTATAACCCCTATATAACCCCTATATAACCCCTCAGTAACCAGAGATGTTTGGGTGCCTAAGGTGACGGTGGTGCTCATGTCCAGTCAGAAGTCGCTACCAGTCTGCGCGACTTGATCAAGAGAAGCAGAGGACAATCATATGCGGTTATACCGGGGCACTGGGAAAGACAACAGAAAATGCTATATAGGAAAGAGAGTTTATATGACTAATTAGATGATGAACAGTGATTTCCCATCTTCTCTTCTGCTTTACCAGGCAGAGGAGACTGGAAACGATCAGATTTGTTGTGGCAGTGTCCGTTCTTCTTCACTAGCACAAGAAAGCTGAGCCTGGGGTCCACTAGGTCTCCGTGATGTCTGCGCTGCCTGCCACCCTCCGCGCCAACTCTGGGTGGACTGGCCCAGAATGTTAATATATCATGTAGAATGAGATCAAGAATATGATACTATCCATAGTGAGAATAGTCAATATATAGTAATCATCATACTCGTTATACTACAACCACTACTAATAACGAAATCCTTTGTTAACAGCAAGAGTACTAGCAGTACTTAACAGCAATAGACGAGGTCGAGCTAGTCGTTTTGGGAGCTAAGTTAGGAGGACCCCCACCCTGTAATAGTCGTATAAGGGGAATATGAGAGGGCCCTAATATGACCACTGTTATCTCTTATGGTCACTATTACTGTGGGGGGTCCACCTAAACCCTATAAACCCTAAACCCCAATCCCTAAACCCTAATCCCTAAACCCTAAAGCCTAATCCTTAAACCGAGGGAGGAGGCCCGACCAAAAAAAAGCTACAAAGCTATAAACCTAAGAGCCAAGGCTGATGATCGTTCCCTGCATCATGGCACACGCCTCGCAGCTGATCATCGACTCCATCCTCGCAGTCCGTTGCGGGCCGAGGGAAGATCCGGAACAGCCGCAGTTCAACAGCTTGCTGAACAGCTCAGAGTTGCCTAGAGGAGCCCTACATCATCCCTCTATACTATGTTTCCGTACTCCCCTCTCGCCACCAGTAAGCAGATACTTACTCTGTGCAAGCTAAGGCTGGGAGGTCAAGGATGAAAAGCAGGCCTGCATCCCACACTGTTGATATTCTTCAGCGTGCCGCTGACTTGACTTGGTGTGCAGGCTGCACTCCTTCCCTCCTGAGCCGCAGGGGGTGTTCATCGGTGTTTCCTGGAGCGCCCTTTGAATGGCTCTTCGCAGAAGAGGGGTGCAAGTGGATTGAGCCCACCTTCTAATGGGAGGTTTTGGCATGTCCGTGGGTTTGCTTGGCAACTAGGCGTTCGTTTCTCCAATGCGCGGAATGCGGCAGTGCTGCCGGGAAAAACTGCGTCCTTGGCCACGTCGCGGCTGCTGGAGTCTTGAGGTTGGTGCATGGCAATCACCCATGTCCGCCAGCTGCTGCTCCAATGACGTAGAGGTAGGACTGTAGTAATCTAGGTTGCGGCCTTCAGATGGGCAATGGCCAGTTGCTGCGCAGAGACAGGGCCTTTGCGGACATTTCCTCGCTGCCTTCATTGTGAGATCTAGCTGCTCCGAGGCCCAAGTGCCACCCGCAACGTCGTGGCCAGCAGCCAGATGGACGCAACCAGCAGCATCATGATTCGAAGTGAGCGCCAGGCAGCTGCCTTGACATTGGGCACGCAGGAATTCTTCGAGCGTTTTTCGGTGGGCTTTCGCAACTTCGAAGCTCGCCTCGAGGGATTTCGGTGTTTTGGCTGTAGCGAATATCACAGGGGCCTGAAGTGTTCACACGGCGTTCTCTTCTCATGTTACCATGTCTGTGTCTCAAGCAGAGCAGTACGATGTCCACGGCGAGTGGCCTCGCCCAGGCTCTCACTTGGTCCCGTGTACTGGCAATGCTTCGCAGACTGACTCAGGCCGCACAAAGATGTCTTAGGCTTTAAATTTTACATCTTGGTGGTGGGGAGATTCCTTCGTGAGAAATTGTTAGCCCAGATTGTGCCGTCACCCAATGCTTTCTCCTTCTCATCTTTGTGCTGCAGCCTCTCTGTGCTTGATTTCGTGGCTTCCAATTCCAACGTACTGGCAACACGGAGCATCTTCTGCAACAGCTGAAACGCCATCGCATCTCATGTTCTGACGCTAGGCCTCTCAAAAAGCTGCGTCCCAGCGCAGTCTGAGCAGCGAGATTTTCTGCGCAAAGATCCTGGAGTAATGTTGAACCCTCTTTAGTATGTAATCCCCCCCCAAACAATTTGTTGGATCCTGAATTAAAATTGTTTGAGGGGTTGGTGATAGTATTAGTATTAGTAGTAGTATTAGTATGAGTATGAGTATTAGTATTAACCCCTGAGCTCTTGAGGCCCTTAAGCTCTGACTTATCTGATGAAGAAATAAGTAAGTGATAACTGTTTTAAAGTAACTATTTAAACTTT